CACCCACGCACACACACAACCAACTGTTATGCCCTATGTCCACCACCAGAGGACAGGTGAAAAGCAGCTCTTACCTGGGCACCAACAATCCCATTGCCACCATAGAAATTGAGATCCTTACGATACATGTGCATGGACCCTCCTTTCCCCTTAGAGCATCCATCCTTCTTTCCCATCAACTCCGCCATCACCTGCACACACGTATGACACCCAGTGTTGTTCATATATAACCCCCATACCTTCTGGGTGTGAAAGTGAGGTGCTCCCCATGGTGTGTGAAAGCATACACTAAATGTGTACTGCACAATGGCAATCCAACAAGCAACTATTTTTATGTGCGATTCCACAACAACACACCCACCGCATGTTCTTCATGTGCAGTCACAACCTGCAAATGGGAAACATCCTCACATGGACCAGATGCAAGTGTATACCCTCCTAAGCATTCTATAAACGCGCAAACAGTAAAGGATGTCGGTCGTGTCATCCATGAAATATTATCACAGAGCTGCCGGTCCGAAGTACCGGTCCAAGGTAATTCCAAGTTGTTTGCTTGTCCAATCTGTAGGGACTAGAACTCTGATCTGTCTATCAATTGTTGACGCATCTAATTCACAGTCATTAACTTATCAGATTGCATACGGATTCGAATTCATGCGCAATTAAAGAAATTGTTTGCTCATACAGCACGTACATACATATTACGTCGGGTAATTAAAAAAATTCTCTGAAACCAGACGGTAATTCAACCAACAAATAGGAAACAAAAGAGACACCAGCAAAAAAAAAAAAAAAAAGAGAGATATATATAGAGAGAGAGAGAGGATGTTCACCCACCCACCTCAGGGATTGTACCGCCTCGGCCAACATGTGTACAGTGATCCCTGTACGCCGTGATTATACAGTCATCACGTGTAAGGGACGCTTCCATGCCCACACAGACCTGCAAGAGAGAGCATCAAACAAGAAGTCCAATCGTCAAGAAATCGCATGACCCATATGTCAATATCAAAATGAACAGCTATAGCGCTTGGCCCATGCACTGATAACCAACCACTTCCACAAATCCTCACAAATTAACCAAAAACACTCTTATGAAAACAGCAGAAGACATAAACGGAAAAAAACGAAAATTCAAAGTAGTAGTACAATACAAAGAGGGAGGAGGAAGAGAGGCAGAGGGCGGCGGGGGAGGGAGGACAGAATGAGCGAGACATTACAGAAACATAAAAAAGAAAATAAAAGAAAAAAGAAAGAAAGAAAGAAAGATGAAGTACAGAAGCCAATCAGACAATGATAAACCCTAAGTCATAAACTTCCCAAAGTCAGCTCTGGTCATTAGAACTGACATCACCTACATTACAGATGCAAGGTCAGCTAAGGACCTTTTATTCCATAATTACAAGGCACTAACAAACCGATTCCACATTTAAAAAAATGTTTCGGTTGCTTTTCCATGGGTGGCTCAAGTATGACGCGAGATAGCAGAGGCAGCATGAGAGAGCAGCTGCTTCCATTAACAAACATCAGATGAGGAGAACCAGCCAGCACGGAGATCAGAAATTGGGTACCAACGCTCAGGGTCCACTTGGCTGCATGGAAACACTAGAATGACATACAGATCACGTTCATCACGCACAAAGAGCCCCTACGGCCCTGGCCACACGTCACGCTTCTTCGGAATCATCATACTCTTTGGAGCGCCATGCCTTGGCAATACAACTGCATCTAACCAGAGAAATGTCTTCAATTCATTTAGCATTACTGAAAGGACTACCTTAGCAATGATTGAAAAAGAATGTGTTACAGAGAGCCACATTCACGACTGCCACGGCACCCACGGTGCAGGAGCTGCAGGCAATGCCGGCACGGAAATGAACATAAAAGACATACGGGTGCCAATGCACTGCACATGTTCTTTGTGAAACGTGCTTCACCCAAAGATATTTCATACTCTCTCTCTCTCTCTCTCTCTCTCTCTCTCTTTCTCCATGTTCTTTGTGGAACGTGCTTCACCGAAAGATATGTAATACTCACTCTCTCTCTCTCTCTCTCTCTCTCTCTCTCTCTCTCTCTCTCTCTCTCTCTCTCTCTCTCTCTCCATGTTCTTTGTGGA